CTCCGCTGGAGGGCCTTCTGGAAGTCAGCCACAAGAGCCTCACTTGATCGCAGCTGTTCCTCCTGCAGTCAGGAGGACCTCTAGTCACAAAACATGACACATCCTGCAGTTATCACTATTCACCTTCTGTCTCAGTTGCTGCTGAGTCTCAGCTAACTCTCTCTCCTTCCTTGTCCGCACATCTCTCACTGTCTCCTTCTCTCTTAGCTCCCTGTCCTTGGCCTGCACTAACTCAGTCTCCTGCAGCCAGGAGGACCTCGTTACACTGCATTAGTTCCACACAGACTTGACTAACTCTCTGTCTCAGTTCTTGAATCCATCTCTGTGAGCTGATCAACTGTTGCCTGACTGTCTGTTTCTCTCTCTCACTGGATTCTAGTTGTTGCTGGAGCTCAGCGTTCTCCTTTAGTAGCCAACCTTTCATTTGAATATTATATGACTGAATAAAAGGTCCCTCACCTGGTTCTTGGATTGCATTTGTTGTCTGACTGTCTGTTTCTCTCTCTCACTGGATTCTAGCTGTTGCTGAGTTCTTGTTAGCTGTTCCTCCTGCAGTCAGAAAGAGAGAGAATTTATTTTCTTGCAACTAAACATGACTCATACTCACCTTCTGTCTCAGTTGGCCCTGGGCCTCAGCTAACTCTGCTTTCTTTCTCCTCAGCTGTCCCTCTAGCTAAACATTCTCCTAAAAACAAACACAAGTCAACTGGCCACACTCTCTCACTACAGCACACACAGTCCCTCACCTGGTTCCTGGGCTGGGTATGTAGAGCTCGCAACAGCTCCATTTTGTTCATGTCTGTCTGCTCGTCTCTCACTTCAGCTCTGGCCTCCTCCAACAGACGCAGCACCTCACGAATGCTCGGCCGGTCTTCAGGGAACTCCAGACACCCCTCGATCATCTGGAGGAGAGGATGCTTCTCGCGTAGCTGCCTGTAGATCATCCTCATGTACCTCTCTCGTCGCTCTAGTTCAGTTCTAGCAAGCAAACGGCCACCTTTACGATAGGTGGGAGCTAGCAAGTCGCAGGGGAAAGTTTGGCAGAGTGTGAAAATGGCCACGACACCAAAAGAGAAGATGTCGATGCTTGCATCATACTTTGACTTTTTGTCTTTCTCTTCCTCATTTTCCTCCTCAAGTTTGCTTTCCATGGCCTCTGGAGGCATGTAAATGATGGCCCCAGGTCCCTTTGTCATGGTGGCTGCAACTCGCATACGAGGCACGATACGAGCCACGCCCAGGTCCGCTATCTTGGCCACCATCCCCGAGCTCAGGAGAACGTTTCTGGCCGACAAATCGCGGTGGATGATGGGCGGCGATCGCTCGTGGAGGTAGGTCAGTCCGTTCGCCACGTTGTGCAAGATCGAGCATTTTAGACTCAGCGGGAAGAAGGGCTTGGGCGCGTCGGGCGGGGGAGGGGTGTCGGTTTTAGGGTCCAGCAAGTCGTGAAGACTCGTCAGCAGTCGGTCCATGACGAGGGCCGGCAGTCGAGAGCCGGGCAGGAAACACAAGCCAAGAAACTGGACGATGTTCGGGTGGCGGAGGGTGCTCATCAGCTGGCATTCCCTTACGAACGACGGGACCAGAGCCGAGTTCAGGAAGACGTCGTGAATCTTTTTGGCGGCGCAGACGGCTCCAGGCACGGCCACCTCCTCCACGCTGCCGTAGGCTCCTGCGCCGATTGCGGTACCAGTGAGTTGTACATTGGAGAGCACGAAAGGCTGCAGCTCAGGGTGGTTACGAAGAAACTCGGCCATAATATTCGTAGAGCTGCATCTAGCTACGCCCTCTGCTTATTTGCAGCTAGGGAGTGGCAAGTTGATGCCGAATATTTACGTAATCTTGGCGATAAACACCTCCGTAAAACTCAGTAAACTTTCCGTAATAGTCACTGAACGTGCAAAGATCGTCTGGAACCAGGGAAATGGGAGACGAGTTGTTGTGGGCGGTCAAGAACGGAGACCTGGATGCCGTGGAAAAGTGTCTAAAGAAGGTGAGACGTCTTCAAACCCACGGCGGCAGCCTAGCGACTCCTGTAGCATTGGACATCGCATGCCGGCTGTGGGTGTGGTTTAGTACCTTCTTTGCTGTGGAAATCTTTACTTGATAACAGTAGAGATGGAAGCATAGTGTGCGTGTAGTATAGACGAATGAAGTACTCAAATTTATGGTTGCTATAGTTCTAAAGATAGTGTTGGTTGTATTATTTATGTATATGCTCTGGTTTCTACGTCAAAATGCGCAAAAGCTCTGTACTGTGTAGAAACTAAAGAGCTAAGTGGTTGTAACAAGTATCAAAATAATTGTACCTTTTGAGGTAGTTATGTTAGTATACCATTTAGTGTGTTTTTCGTAGTAATGTAATCTGATTATGTTTACATTAGAGTGTGTGTTAGTGACTATAGTGTTCCATGCATGTGGAGAGGGAGAGAGGATTGAATAAAGGGAGGGAGGGGGAGAGGGGAAGGAAGGAGATAGAAAGAGACAAGCGTAAGAAAGGAAGTGTACTGTGTGGCTATTCAACCATCTCACTGCCACATTCCTCAATTATCTTCATACTGTCCCTCCATACCTCAGGCTGCCAAACCTACGGCACATATTATAACACACTATTATACACATCAGCCTATTCCCCTGCATAATGATAGGAACATACTCCTTTTTGATATGTGTACTGCCATCTAACAGTACTATAACACTGTCGTGTGTATGTAATGCTGTGTGTCAATGAACATAATCCCTCTCTATGATGTCATCAGTAGGAGTACATGTACATTGTATTGTGTACTGCCAGTGCTGCTTGGGATTGTCTGCTACAACTGTGTCGCCTAGTAGTTTTACGATGTCATATTTCCTCTTCTCTCGTTTTCCCACTATCTCACTCAAGACTTTCGTCTTTCCCTGATCTCACTCCAAACATTAGTATTTCACTTTAACTCTTGTGTTTTCCCTCTATCTCACTTCAAACTTACGTCTTTTCCCTTATCTCCCTCTCCCCTCTTCTCCCTCCCGCTCCCTCATCAGCCTGGGTTCAATGTCAACAATGAACTGATGAACGGCCGAAATGCCCTCCACTATGCAGCGGACTACGGCCAGGCTGAGGTCGTCGCTCTTCTCCTCAAACTAAAGGCCGACATCAACGTACGTAACATCTCACTCACCTCCTTTGCAGGCCTACTTATTTTGTCTGAGACTTTTGAACAGAGGCAGATCTTTGTCCATTTTTAGTCTCAAAGGTTTTGACATTTTGTGAATTTGTGAAAGTATTCATGTGAAATTAATTGCTCCCTCCATTAATCAGACTCCAGACAAGTTTGGAATCACTCCACTGCTGGCTGCTGTATACGAAGGTCACAAAGAAGTCGTGAAAGTCCTTCTCGAAAAAGTAAGTAAAAAATTCATTTTTTGCTGCCAAATCATGTCCTCTTTGAAAGTTGATTTTTACTTTTTTCATTCACGTCTTACTTCTCTTTTACTCTCGTAAAAGCTAAGGATTAACGACCTTGGTACACTAGATCACAAAAAGCAGTAAAGAATCAGAACAGTTTATGTTTGTGGAATTTGTGTGCATTTTTACGCTATTATTCTTACATTTTTAGGCAAGCGATAGGATTACACTTTCAGGTGCATTTTCAATACTTTTTCAAAAGTCATCGTAAAATTTGCCACTGGACAATATTTTAGAGTTGACAAAAGTCTAGTTTTTCTCCTTCCTTGTCCCCCAACACTGATTATTCCGAGGATTTTCTCACCCGCTACTGCACCATTTATAAACAACTGCTGAGTTAGCAGCTAAATAAACAGGTCTTATATAGCTAGCGGACAAAATAAACAAATCTTGGTTAGTTTCTTAGCGTGAAATAACTTGTACACCGGAGCTATTAGCTATGTATACAGTGGAACACTTCTAATATGGGACAGAATAGATGGAGTGAGGTGTCCCTATTTCAGGGGTTTAATGATATGCAAGAACTGTTCTTGGGGAAATAGATTGTGTCCTTAGAGAGGTGTCCTTATTTCAGTAGAGAGTTCCACAGTATTGGAATCACGTAATGTCTTGCACACAATAACCGATGTGTATATCTGTAGTGACCATATTAGGGAGCAGACAAGTCACTGTATTGTGCTTCTGAGATATTGTAGTATGTGTCTACTTACTATATTATTATAGGGAGCAGACAAGTCACCGTATTGTGCTTATGAGATATTGTAGTAACTTGTGTCATGTGTCTACTTACCATATAGGGAGCAGACAAGTCAGGTAAGGCCCCAGACGGCTCCTCCTACCTGGCCTGTGCAGAATCAGACGAGATCAAGGCTCTGCTCAAATAACAGTGAGTCACCACGGCAACCACTCTGGCTAGCTGGTGTGCTTCGTCATTGTTCAACGTTTCTTTTTCCCCCACCTTTCACCTTTCCCATATCTCACCCTTACCTTTTGTCCTACGTCCTTCTATCTCACTTGGAACTTTGCCATTTCACCCTCTTTCTTACTTTTTCTTAGTCCCACTTTCCCCCTATGCCCTATCTCACTCCCACCTATCATTTCCCCCCCTATCTCGTCCTCTTCCTAAATTCATACTACATCAGCCTCATTTTTAGTATAACCATTATCCCCTCCCTCCCTCCCTCCTTTCTCTCTCTCACCATATCCCCTCCCTCCCTCCCTTCTTTCTCTCTACAATATCCCCTCCCTCCCTCCCTTCTTTCTCTCTACCATATCCCTCCCTCCCTCCTTTCTCTCTCTCACCATATCCCCTCCCTCCCTCCCTCCTTTCTCTCTCCCCCTATATCCCCTCCCTCCCTCCCTTCCTTCCCTTCTCTCTCTCCCCCTATATATTATAGCTATGTACATGAAGTAGTGGTAAGAGCCAGTTTAGTCACACCTACATCAACAGTGACTAGAAACTTGGTCACATCTCTTCAATTAGTTTACACTTCATCACAACACACGGTCTAACTGTTGTCAGTAGCTCTGGCCTGTGGTATGTATGGTATTAGAGATTTCGTCCAAATTTATTAGAATTTCTCATTTTTACTGGTTTTTTTGTGCATTGTAACCTCTGTGATGATATCATTTGTGGATGGTGCGTTTGTCAATCGTTTATTCAGAGGTTTAACTGAATACAATACGATGCTAGTTATACAAGGGTACACCCCTATAATAAGACTAGTGTAGTTTGTGGATCATCAACTAATGATGCATCTTCTATGACAGTTACTGCACTCTCTAGCTATACTGCCCCGCCTCCTGACCACACACACCATACAGAATATGACCACGCCCACCAAACACACCTGATGCCACGCCCACCACTGTGAACTTTGAACCTCAATATTCTCTTCCAGAGTAACTTGGATGGGTTTGGAGGGTCCGCTGGGTAAAGTCTTTGACATGGCACGGACTGTGAAGATATAAGTGACGCCTGGCGTTAACCCCGTAATAGATAAACTGGTCTCCATGGCACCGATCGTCGTGGTAACTGTATCAATGGTGTAAATGCGACAGCGAGATATTACGTAGCCGGTGATGTCGAAATAGCTGCGATGTTGTTGCCATGTTAGCTCCACAGTGTCGGGTCTTGTCTGAGACACACTCAGAATATTGGGAGGCGGAGGAGCTGGGCGTGGGTGGGAGAGAGAGGGAGGAAAAATTGGTCCACTGTCATGTAATAATGAAAAGGCACACCCTCGGCAAACTGCGCTAATTGATTGGCTGGGCTATTAGCACGTGTTTACTCGCGGTCTCCCGCTAGTAGCTCATGGAGAGCCTGACACGGACTAGCTACAACAGTACAAAAGGCATCCAAATGAAGGTGTCCTCGCTCATGTATTCAAATTTTTTGGAAAATCTAAGTCGCACACATCGTAATTACGAGCAGATAATTGTGGAACTCACCTGTCAGTGTTATCTTTTCAGTGGCTGTGGATGGTTTGCCATTGGACACAGTACAGGCATACTCTCCTTCTTCTTCCTCCGCGAATGTCAGAGTGTGTAGATAGCGTGGCATCGACTGATCAACTAGCAGAGAGGATGAGGTGGCAGAAGGGAGAGGGACGGAGTCTCGTGTCCAAGTGACAGTGGTAGCAGGTCCTCCAGTGGAGATACAGGCCAGGGTGAACTGAGGATTGGTGGTGTATTTGGCCGTGAATTTCAGCTCTTCTGGTATTGATACATCACCTGGTAGACCGAGTGAGAAGGAGAAGGAGGGGAGAAGATGGAGAAAGGAATACGAAACACATAGTTTTTGCTACCATGCGACTATACACCTGCAGCTAAAGCTCTTTTGACTAAAAAAACATACAGTTACCATGTATACAGACAGAGGGTATAGTATACTGAATTCCGTAACTCGCCTCCTCCGTTTCCGTAGAGTCCAATGTAAATTCTCTGCTGCACGTGGTTACGTCGTACCGCAACCTCGCAACGATACAGTCCCGACACGCTGACGCAGGCCTTGCGCGAGTTGCAACGAAATTCGACGCATTGCGGCAGACGCGTCTCGTACGGCCCCTCACCGTCGGGGGAGATAAATTTCAGGGGGTGCCCCCAGGGATTAAACCAGTCCCCCCGGTCGGGGCCCTGGGCGGCGCTGCAGCAGGTGTGCAGAGGACTGTGGCACTGAACGCTGTTCTTGTTGTCAAGACGAGATACGTCAACGTAACTGTGGTTCGGCAGCCGCTGCGATTCGTACGTTACGTAAGCGGAAGTTTCGTGTTCTGTTGCGGACGAGCCACCATCTCGACGGAGGGCTGAAATAAGTATCAGGAGAACCGCCTGAGTCGCTAGTGCTGAGGTTGAGACACGCATCACCTGGTGCTCGAGGAAACGCGCGTTGAAAGGCGGGGTTTTGTGAGCAAGTTCATCTGCGCATGCGCCAACTGCAATATACACTCCCAATATAGAGAGGGCGAGTGTTGACAAATTTCAAGGGCACACAAACACACATGACAACACATCTAAAATTTCTGGACTACTAATCTTTCCTCCAAAGTATTCTGACACTTGCTATACAAGGTGTAAGCAAATGAACTCTCCCATTCTCTCTTCTTGTCCCCCTCGCCCCTTTCATTAGTAGTCGTTAGCGACGACGGCTGGCTCTTGGGATAAAACAGCCAGCAGAGTATGATGAACACAATGTAGCACATCATGGCCAGTATCGCCAGGACGACGGCTCGAACACTCAGTGTCGCGTTGTCGTAGACCCAGCAGTTGCCACGGCGACCGCAGTCTCTCTGCCAGAATAGACAGGCGGAGTCGAAGACGACTCCAAACAGGATCGGACCAGGAACGAAGCCGATGAGGCGGATGATGGAGGACTGGAGACCAAGAGCCAGTGTTCTCTGGTCTTCTGCCACACACCTGTATGGAGTCAATGACATCATGCAACACATAATGACTATAGAAGAACGATGCTATAAGCCTGGTTTAAAGTTTAACCCTATGTACTGACACATTGGATCTACAACCTGAACACAGTTGCAGTGCCAAAGAAAAGCATAAGCAACACAGCTAGATGCGCTGTCTCCATTTCTATATATACCTGATTGTGATGGTGATATTAGGTATCTGCAACATGAACACGAAGAAGAGAGTGAAGGCAGATATGACGAGGTAGAGTTGCAGTTGCCACGTGCAGTCCTCATTACAGAGCCCCTCGCTGGCTGAGCTGTTAGTAATCAGGAGGGGAGGAGGTGAGGTGAGGTTCGTGGAGAGCTGCTCAGCTACACACAGACAACTCTCAAAAGATCCCTGCAGATGATGTACGAGTCACGTTTTAAAGAGAAAGTGGCACTAATGTTACTATTCTTTCACTTGCCCTATAAAGTTTTTACTGCCATGTTTCTGCTAAGACTGAGGCAGTACATATACATATAATTAAAAGACGGAAACATAATTGCATTCTGTCACTGGGTCCTATTGGTTTCATCTTCAGTAAACTTAGTCCATTATAATTATTATACTGCCACATTCCTTTAACATGGAGCAAAATGCATACAAGTTATTAACATTGCTTATGTATAATTATACAGTTGTTTTGTTATTGATCAGTCATAACGTTTCAATCTGTGGAACTCTGTCGGCTGACAGTCTGTACAAGAACCACATTATGACTATATAATACCATGTGTGTGTGGAATTTCATGACGCAGTGGAGGTTCAGAGTATAGTAGTTAAACCCTGTGGAATCTTGTGGTTTTTGTATATACAGTCTATCATAGCAGCCAGTAGACAAAGGTCCACAGATCAAAACATTCTGAAACCTAGCGTCTAATGGCTGACGTTGTTGGCGGGAGGACATCCGGCGTGACAGGGAGTGAAGTAGACGATGTTGTCGGCACCACAGACTGGGTCAAACACAGAGGAGGTGCAGTTGCAGGAGGCGGTGCAACTTGCTGCCAGGGAAGTAGTGTCTGATGCCCCGTCAGATCTGCAGGGTTTTGGATAAGTAGCTATCTGAGAGACTGTGGAATAGCCAACGATACAGCAAAAATGCAGTACAACAACTTAGAAGTATATAACAGAGAGAACTTAGTGCTGGTTCTCAAGACAAAAAATCGTGAATTCATCCCAAAGGACCCACAAAAAATCTTTTCGTGCACGTCTGTGCCTTAAACACGAGCATATCTTTTGTTGTTGTTTTTTGTTTTTTGTTCTTTTCTTGTGAATGTCTTTGTGTATAATAATTGTACCTTACTGCCCTTTCCTTTTGTGTGTGTGTGTGTCTCACAAAGAAATTTTCCTTACCGACAGAGAGAAAACTTTTCTGAAAGTTTGTTCACTGAGTCTCCCTCTGCATGTTTCCCATGGTAGCTACACTAGTGGAAACTTACCCATCAGGATAAGGAACGATGACTCCGGCCAGCTCGGGGGTGGGGCAGTGAATGAGAAATCCAAACACAGTGAGAACTGCCAGGGAACATGTGACAAGACCCATTAGTGGCAACTTCCGACCTCGTATCTTGAAGAAATAGATGAGCAGCCCACTCGTAATGACACCAGCCCCTGCCGTTGGGATGGCTGATGAGGAAGAGATGTAATGCATTACTTGCAGCAGCATGTGTGAAGAATGACAAACATCCCACATTTACTATCTTGGCTATTATAGAGATGTGTAACACCTGTACACTATTATGCAGACTCTGTTTACTTATTGCTCATTACATAATCTTACATTGTAGTTCGTATAAAAAGTGTATGCAAGTGGAAATAATCAGATTTGAGACTCAGCCAGAGTCACTGAGGGAGGTGAGCGTTGCCACGCGCAAGGCTGGTCGTGCCACAGATGAAGTTTGGAACAGTATATAGTGACACTTTGCCCTAGCAACTCACTCAACTGAGGATTACGATGATTTTTTAGGCATGTGAGTGAAACAAAGACAAAACAATCTTTTGAACTACAGTTGAAAGATCTCCCATGGCAGGAAATGCAAGTCGGAATGGCAACACACCTCCCTCCAAACTCTGCTTATCTAATACACACACACACACACACGCACACACGTGCACACACGCACACAATGGAACTCACTCCTAGCTCCAGTGATGATGCTGGCCTCAGAAGTTGTAAGGCCAAACTGATTCTCAACGTACTTGACTCCGAACGAGGCAAACCCTGAAATGGTGACAGACGCCAGTCCCAGACCCAGCGTCACAAACAACCAGCTCGGATTCATGGCAATCCTTTTCAATTCTCGGGGAAACTCCCGCACCACGTTCCATCGATCCTCCGCCCTTCTCCTCCTCACCACCGTCCTACCTCTCAGCGCCATTTCTCTCTCGCGCAGCTCTCGAACCTCGCCACTGTTGGGTAGAACTCGAGGGTACAGGAAGAAGGGGAATGCGATGACGAGGCACAGAGCCCCGCAGACGATGTAGCAAAGCCACCACGCTCCCACCCACCCAGGGTCTCTGGGTGTAAGATGAGTGTTCACTGATGGGTCTACGTAGATTGATAGAAATAGTCCGCCGAGTCCGAAGCCTAGTGCCGGGCCTATGATTGCCATCATGTAGAATATCCCCAGGTGAATGGAGACGTACTTTGGGTGAACGATTTCGTCAATGTACGAGGTCCCGATTGTGAAAAGCGGGGCAGCCCCCACCCCGATTAGGATATTACCCATCATGAAGAAGAAGTAGGCGGCGTTATTGGCTGAGGTGCAGTCGGATGAGAAGTCTATTTCGTCTGCACATGTTTCAGTGTCGCGGTCGCTAGAAGACCCAGTCTCATACTCACCAAAGAGAAACTGAGGAAGAGAAAAGACAAACGCTCCGATTGCTTCGACGATAAGGGCCACCCCCAGCCAACGAGGTTTGTGGCCACGCCCACCAAAGTAACTGATGAAGATGACGGAGGTTACCACGGCGATGTCGGTCATGCTGGCGAGGGCTCCGGTCTGTGTGCTGGTGAGTCTATAGCGACGCTCGATTGTCGACAGAACCACTGCGGTCAGTCCTGAAGAGAGAAATAGAAGCTAGTATCAAAAATGATCAACCCAATAGCAGAAGTAAAAGTTGTTGGATTCAAAGATTGTGGTGCTAGATTTTCAATGGGTCCAGCTATAATATAGCAACACAAGTAAACTACAACTTTTCTCTTCTGTCAATATGAACGAGGGATCATATATAGTAAGTAGACAGTTGGATTTCCGTTGGCATCTGAAGTAAGAACTGTTATGGAACTAACCTGAGACGAGGGCTCCCTCCACAGTAGAGAAAAGACAGAGAAGAAACGTAAAGACTCTGGCGTCACGAAGTCGCTGCAGCCATGCGGGGTGCCAAGGCCCGGCTCCGCAGTAATACTCCACTTCATCTTTCTCGTCTTCCCCAGCGGCAGCAGTATGACCAGCAGGGAAATCTTCCGCTGTGTGAGGCGGTGCAGCGTCTTCGAACGGCAACTTCTCTTCTTCCGTTTCCATTCCCTAGCAGTGCTGAAGACCTGTTCTCATCGCCGAGGGCTGCAGAACGCGCGAGAGCGGCACCCAGCGCAAGTGACGGATCTCCGTCCGTCTCGTCTCGTTGGAACTTCCCCTCCGCATCTCGCTCTCCGCCGGCCGTCGAATTTCGCAATCCTCCGTTCATAACGTGCAGCTCCATCCCGAGACTTCGCTACTCCGCGTCGCAACCACAGCAGGCGGAGCTTTTGCTGACGATGCATAATACATCTCTCGCGCATGCGTAACAACTGCTCCAACTTCTTTGTCGCAAAATGCCATCTTTACAAGAATTAACATAATTATACACTTCCACAAAGCAACACGAACATCTAATCAATATTATAGTTCATGCATGTTTTTTTAACAGCAATAATAATGGAAAAATAGAGGTGCATGCAAATAAAGAACGAAACTCGAATAAATTTTGGCTATTCCTAACTAGTACAATGATCAACTCTCAAAAAAGCTCCATGACGATCAGCGAAGTTGTTACGTAATATGGTGTAATATCAGCCACTAGAACTGTTCTGACAGCACGGAGCAGAGGTGTTCGGTAACTTTGTCGTTTGACGTACGAACTGTCAGTCGATACATCTGCAGGAGGGAGGGAGAGGGAGGGAGAGTGGCTTTAGCGTGGACTTAATTTTCAAATTTTTTCTTTGGAGAATTCGTGGTTTATGGGCATTAATCCGCGAAATTCTGAAACACGAACTGTTTTTCCATAGCAAGTTTCCCGCTATAATGATGGTAATCACGAGGGTCTCAGCCTTGCAATCAAAAAAAAACTAAACACTCTCTGGTGCGCAGCTCTCAAGCTATGTCAAATGAGTGAATGAAGACAGGCCCTGCTGTCAGTATTTGACTAAGTCTTCCTCCTAGGGAGTACTGGCACAGAGAATGTTAACTTTGCAATCGTGGAACTAATGCTCTGCATGTGCGTGCCTCTCGAGCTACTAGCTCAAAATGTGCTGAATTATTTCGACAAAATGACGACCCACCTTGCTGTCAATATTGGGTTCCAGTCTGAGCAGACATCCAATGAGGACGGAGGAAGTGTTGATGACACCGGCAGACACGCAGTTTGCAGGGTTAGGGTCGACTCCCTCCAGGACAGAGAATCCAAACCCAGCCAGCTGGAGAGAGAGAGAGGGGGGAGAGAATGGTAAAGCAAACCTTCCTCACGTGTGTCTATGTAACTCTTTGTTTTTTGTCGTTACTGTCAGTGATCAGTGGGTCTTCGTTGAAAACTGTGCTGAAAACAGTGTCGAGCTGCAGGGTGTGTGTGTGTGTGTGTGTGTGTGTATCTGTTAAATGTATAAGGAGTCTGGGCAGTGCCGGCCAAGAGAAAGGCTTGGCTCGGGTGAGTGGGCAGAGTTCACCGGTGGTCAAAGATTTCTTTAATCCACCACCCCTGGTTCTCAAGGCCAGGGGACCCACAATGCCTAAACCATGCTCTTATGCTTAAAGGGATGTGTAGGGAAAGCAACAGGGAGAAAGAGAGGATGGGAGGGGAAGAAGGCGAGAAAAAAGGAGGAGGTGAGGGGAAGAAGGCGAGAGAAAGAGAGGAGGGAAGGGAGAGAAGGCGAGAGAAAGAGTGGAGGGGAGGGGAAGAAGCTGATGTTACACATTTCTGTGTGTGCAGTGTCTCAACAGACTGTAGTGGCCACAGTCAAAGAAGGCAGCACTGGACAATACTACTCTCTGTGAAGTACTGGAACAAGGACTCATACTACACTTACTGCTAACACTGCACTCTTCTACTCTTATCACATATTCATAGTAACACGACTGCGGAAAATAGGGTGATCTAAACTTTTAGCAAGCAAGTGGGTGGAAGGACAGGCCAACCAACCATCCTGAATACCTTGACTATATCTGGAGAGTGCAGTGCAAATAATCCTCAGGAGTGACTATGGAAAATAGGGTGGCCTAAACTTTTCGTATATACTTTTAGCAAGCAAGTGGGTGGAAGGACAGGCCAACCAACCATCCTGAATACCTCGACTATAGCTGGAGTGTGCAGTGCAAATAATCTCAGGAGTGACTATGGAAATAGGGTGGGCCTAAACTTTTCGTATATACTTTTAGCAAGCAAGTGGGGGGAAGGACAGGCCAACCAACCATCCTGAATACCTCGACTATAGCTGGAGTGTGCAGTGGTAATATACACCATACAGTTACCTTGGCTCCACTCTTTTCCTTTTCGATGGGGAACTTGGCAGGAAATATCCTCTGAGCTTCTTGCGTCGACCTGCACAGTCACAGAGTATACGTATGTATCTACATGTCATAATATACATACATACGTACGTATAAAACACCTCAAAAATCAAAACTGCATAGCAAAAATTCAATTTTGTTTGGTTAAAATTTCGCGGCCTAAGATCCGCTCATGTTGCACATGCACCAATGTATAGACGCACACAAAACATACTATTGTTGTATGGTTGTAGATTGTTCGTTATCGGAAGAAATAGTGAGGGCTGAGGTGGGCTCTAAATAGAGAATGACTCACGTCTGCAGCTGTTTCCATCTCTGGAAGAAGTCCTGTGACGTCATGGTAACGGGCTCCATGAACTTGAAGAACATGACAGGCAGTTTGAGGACGAGATGATGGGGTGCCCCTGACATACTGTGAGGGAGGAATAATTATTATAATAATATTATGAACTGATTATAGTGTGCGCAATAAGCATTGTACAGCCCTGAAAAGTAAAGAGGCTGTAGAAAGGAGATGAACAATATACAAAATAGGGAGAAGAAAATAGAGAGACAGAGAGAAAGAAGAGGAAGGAGAAGCAATAGGTAAAGAGAGAGAGAGAGAGAGAGGAGGAACATAAACTGACTGGAATTTGATTTCCAGAAGGACAGGCTCAAAGAAGACACCGCGACACTCGACGTTGATGACCTGTTGAACTTGAGCTCCCACATCTATCATGTTACTGATTGGCTTTGGCTGGACGTTCAGGACTGGAGGCAGCCAGTTAGGGAAATATAGCATACTGATAGAAACAGTCATCTTGAATTGGTTACATACGTATGTACAGTAATGAATCTAACTTGTTACAGGAAAATAGGGTGGCCTAAACTTTTCGTACTTTTAGCAGGCAAGTGGAGGGAAGGACAGGCCAACTAACTATCCTGAATACCTCGACTATAGCTGGAGTGTGCAGTGAAAGAATAAGGTGGCCTAAATTATTCGTACTTTTAGCAGGCAAGTGGAGGGAAGGACAGGCCAACCAACCATCCTGAATATCTTGA